GCTCATGGCCCTTGCTTCTCCACGCCTTTGCTAAGGAGCAGCCTCCATGTTCTTCTTTTCCAAGGTCTTGTATTACAAATGCCCCACTTAACACTTCTGACCCGATTTGCCTTTGTGGGTGGCCTCGGGGGTTTGTGTTTCGGCAAATCTAGTGCACTGGGTTCATCTTGTGAGCTTGTGTTCTGCTATTCTCCCTCTGGGTTCAGGTTTATGTTAGGTAATGCTGCAAAATGTTCTGCATATAATGCACATGCAGCCCTGGGCTTGTCATTGCCAGTCTGGCCTTTTTCAGTAAATTAATGCTGCTCTTAATGCATGTTTTTTCTTTTGTGCTCATTAACACGGAAAGCTGAGAAATTCTGGCACTCAGGGAAGATTTAACATGTTTGTATAATGTTAGATGATTTTAGGCTTCTCGGACTCTCGAAGCTTGTTAAGTTCTCTTGAAAATGTGCCTCTGCAAACATACGTGCCCTTTGCCTTTTCCTTGAGTTGGAAACCTCCACACGGATGTGTTGGCGTGGTTTGGCTGTCTCTGTGGCATTTACTTTCTGTTTAGGAAAAAAAAGTATTCTCCCCCAGGCGACCAGCATCCGAGGGCTTTTCAGCAGTGTCGTCTCACTCCCTGCCTGGGTGCAGGAGCATTTACAGAGGAGTACTCTTGCTCTGAGCTCAGCTGTGCATGTGATTTGTTGGAGAAAGCAGGGTCAAAGATCTGTTTTGGAGCTGGGGAGAGGATGGGGAATCTCCCTACAGAATGGCAAAAGAGTATTATAATTCTGGCTTGGCCTGTCATTTACTCTTCCCTTACCTAGTTATGTAGATAAAACAAGGGAAAACGTTTTAATTGTATGGGAAGCATTGCATGCACCAGAATTGCAGCCGAAATGTTGGACCACGTTAAATTCTGGTAAAAATCTAGATAACATTCTGATTGGGCTGTCATTTAATAAGACTAAAGATATTCCTTGAAATTTTTGTGGTTTGTTCCATTATACTCTATGTAGAATTAGGATGCTGCTTCGCAGTGTGATCTTCGAACTAGAAAAATATATCTGGGAAGGATGCAAAAATGCAACCCAGTCTGATATCTTGTGCACAGAATGCAAGATACATGGTTTGGGGGTTTCTTCTTTTAAATAAAACTTTGTAGTTGGTCAGCCTGAGTGGTTCATGCTAGATTAAAAAAAAATGACTAGCTATATCTGACTTCCTCTTAACTGGAGCTTCAAACTGGCAAGGTCGTATCTGGTGTATGACCTCTCTGCAAATATTAGTGGAGTGAAATTACCAGCAGGGAAAAGGAAGCAGGCCTCAGCCAGGCTGTGCTCTGCTGGTAAGGCAGCTTGTAAAGTGCTCAGACTTTGCAGAGAGGACCCAGTACAGCTCAGCTGTGGGTGGAGCTGGCTGTACCCTGGTTTTAGTTCCTTTTGGAAAACTCTTTGTGGATTAAAAAACAGACCAGCAAAAAAGCAATTTGTGATAGAGTAGTGTTGAGGGAAGACATATCAACATTATTTGACCATTGGAGTACAATCCACTTTTGTGCTTTATTAATTATGAAATATTAATGCAATTAGAACCTTGAGATCCAGGAGTTTTATCTTGGATAGACACAGAGACAGGAGTAATTTTGTTTTCTCCTTCAACTCTTCAATAGCCTGTAATAGCTCTTGTCCCTTGTGCTCTTGAGAGACGTTATAATTGGGCTCAGATCGTTTTGCACAGACTCCTAAAACCACTTTGATTCCACCACTAGTTCAGAGCTGTGTTTCAAAGACCTGCACCTCGTTGCTGTTGAGTCATCCATCACAGTCAGTCTGTTGGTTGGGAAATCTGCTTTTCCTGGATTACAAAATTGGTTATGGAGCAATTTCAGGAACTGTCTACAGTGGGAAGTTACTCCAGAAGAAACCAGTGTATTCATCTTAAGTGGATAACAGTATAACTAATAGGATATAGGGTTTTGTTCCTGGAAGGAATGCCACTGAAAAACTGATTCACATAGCTAAACTCACTGCATAGACAAGTCCTGTAGTTTTGAGAAGGGTCAAATGTGGGGAACAGAACGATTGTGCTACTTCAGAGTGTCTGTTGAAGTACATGTATGTTATGTTTCTCTGGCTTACTTGGTTCTTGGAAGAGGGAAGGTTCCTGTATCTTAGGGAAACAGGGCTCACAGAAAAACTTCTCTTAAGGACTGGTTATATAGAATTGTTTCTCTCTTGCATTTCCCCATCTCTCTTAAATAATCCTGCTCTGACCAAAGGGTCTGGGAACACTTCAGAATTCTGTGTATTTTCTGTTTTACATGACTTTGCCACAAAACAAACAGGTATTTAATAAGCTATTTTCATCCAGTGCTTATCCAGGCTGAGGACTGATCTGGATTGACTGTAGTGAGTGAAATACATATTTTATGGCTTTTGGTCTCTTGATCAGGACTAAAGTACACCTATTTTTCTACTTGCTCAAAGCCTCTTCCTTTCTTTTTACATTCAGCTGTACTGCATGCCCGCTGCTACTCTCATGGGTCACAAGAATCAGATGAAGAATTTGATGCTCGCTGGGTGACATATTTCAACAAGCCAGATATTGATGCCTGGGAGCTCAGGAAAGGTATGTTGAATGAAAAGGGAAGAGTAACATGGAGTAAATATAACTGCTTTGTAATAGTTTTGTGACCAGAAATAACAGCTTTTTTTACTTCTCTGTTGGAGAGCAAAAATAGTTCAATTTATAGAAGTGATACAGGCAAGAACCCACTGTTCTTGCAAACCATGAAAACTGGGAGTTTGGTGTAGGAGAGCAATCCTGTAAATACCCAGTTGGGGCAAGGCAGTATGTGAGCCTTTCTTTATCTGTTCTGAGTCATCTGGCTGCTCTGTGTGTGCCTGTGGTTGGCGTGCTGCTGTTTGCTCAGTTCTGAGCCTGTTGCAGCAGGTGATGGCAACTCACCAACCAAACAAGTGTGCTGGAAGGAAGCACGGCATGCAGAATGAGGGAGAGTGGGGGTACAAGGCAGTGGGAGTCAAGGCTTTGTAAATTTTAGTGCCCTAGAATACACATTTTAACACCTGGGTGGGAGGGAGAGAAACATTTTCTCTAAGTAAGTATATTTGAGCTCAGCTGTTGCTTAGTGTATAACCACACACATTTTTCTTTGGACTTTGAATTAATGGCTTGGCCATAGCTCACTGTAGACTGTTTGATTGTTTCCAGTTATTTGCTGTGGAGTTGCCAGTTCCTATTAAAGTACCCCAATTAGGGGTTAAAAATGTGTTTGCATAACTGCCAGAGGGGTTGTTCCAGCATCACCTGGATGACTAGGTGTTGGGCTCTTCCCTTTGAAAGGAGAGGAAGGGAATAGGCAGCAGCTCAAGTTCTAATTTCACTACACCTGTAGGAATGAACTCATTTGGATTTCTTAATGCTTCCATAACTGATGTGCCATGGTACAGACAATGACTGCTTTTGGGAGCATGAATGAAACTGGCCCACTGGGATTTCGTGAAATCCACTTAAAACCTTAAAATCTATGGTAGTGAGCAACAGTGAGAGGGAGAAGAGCAAAAGAAAACCCTTGGCTGTGTGTGGGTCCCCTCAAAATAGCAGTGAAAACTGTAATCAGCTTCTAATGGCAACCGGTGTCCTGGTGATACTTATTTCTTTCATGAGGTGGAGCAAAATAATGTTGAGCAGGTTCCTTTTGATAGCATGATGAGCTGATGCCAAGTTTCTGTTGGTGTTTCCTTATATTCACAGGCATAAACACGCTTGTGGGTTATGACCTGGTTCCGGAACCAAAAATCATCGATGCAGCTCTGAGGGCATGCAGACGGTTAAATGACTTTGCAAGTGCTGTCCGCATCTTAGAAGTTGTAAAGGTGAGTGGAATGGCAGCCTAGGGTGTAACTGCTGTGCTTGCATTGCTGAGAGCCCAGGAGCGGAAGAGTTTTTCTTTGCTTACTGTTGGTGGTGCAAAGGGAAACCACTATTTCCTGCTGCCAGAATCAATAGCTTCATTATGAGTACGTGCTCAGTGGCTTGAAATAGTTGTTTTAAGGTAAGAGTACTCAGCAGCACAGCTTCACAAGTATAATGTTCTTACTTTCATATTTTCCTTTCCTGATGCTGACTGTGATGGGAAAGTCTTTAAGGATTTTTCTTCCTTGTTTTTTTAATAAGCATTACTAGAAATATCTCAAGTGAAGGCAGCTTACTGGCTGAATAGTAGTAAGTATTGAAGTACTGAATACTGAGCTGGCTGGGAGTAGTAACTCAGGAAGCTGCATAGGCTTGAAAAACAACATAAACCAGCACCTTGAAACCTGAGTCCAATCTTTACTTAACAGGGAGCTAAAATGGGTGGGGATGGAGGCAAGAGTTCTTCTATTTCAGTCATAGAAGCCAGCAGCTATGCTCTTCTGACTTTTTTTGCCACAACTGAGGAGGACTGGCATGGAGGTCTTTGCTGCTAGCTGTTAAATCTACTTGCTTCAAACTCCACAATCAGTTGCTTCTTGGGTTACCATTTCTGTTTTCTGCATTCTTCTGTAGAACTGAAACTCTTTCAGTGGTTGGTTTTAGAGACATGAGACCAATGGAAGAATCTTTGTATGTTTTCCTTCTCTTCTTCTTTTTTTCTTTTCTTTTGTCCCCATCATCTAGGGGACAGTTTGGTTTATCAGCACAAGTGTATGCTCTTCCTGGAACTCTACCTAAATAATTCTGAAGGGGTGGTATTTTCCCCTGATTTCCAAGCAAGTTAAACTTTCTCTCAGGTCTGCCCAAAAGCTGATTTAATTTTTCCTGTTTTACTGATTGGATAATATTTTCATTCTGCTTCCTAAGGTATAAGTGATCTTTGGGCTGGTTTGCAAGGCATACCTTGTTCAAGGAGCTTGGCTTAGTTTTTAGTTTTGTGTGGTGCGACACACATGTCATGGGTCGCATCAGCCTGATGATAAATGAGAGAAAGGTGTCAAGTGTTAAGAATAATCTGCAAATTCCCTCCAGGGGAGTTCAGCATTATTCTGGGGTGCTTTTCAGCCATGATCATTTGGTAGGAGGACTTTACAGTATAGCTGTATGCAAGCCTTGTTTACTTGACATGCAGATGAAGCTGGGCTGTGCTCTCCTGTCCTCATGAGCAGTAGGTGGATCAGGCCACGGACCCTTTTGCGAGCACACATCTTGATTGCGAACCTGGCTGGTGTAAGGTGGACCTTGACAACATCTTGCTGTTGAAGTAACGCAATTCTTTTTCGTTTAGGACAAGGCAGGACCTCACAAGGAAATCTATCCTTACGTTATCCAGGAACTTAGACCAACTTTGAGTGAACTGGGAATCTCCACTCCAGAGGAACTGGGCCTGGACAAAGCATAAATCTTATTGGTAAGGGATGCAGTCACTACCGAGACTCTTGGCATGGGACTCCTGTACCCTAAAACTCTCCTGACAAAGACAGAGTCCTCTTCCTTGTCTTCATGGGTCTGTGAAAGACAAGTTCAGGCTTGTAACATGATTCTCCAAATATCTCTGTAACTACAGGTCTCCTAGAAAAGGTAGTAACCCTTTTCAAAGAAAGCTTGAAAAAAGAACAGCGCAGTTGCTTGAGAAGGGATAGGGTGGCTGGCAACCGTACCCAACCTCCCAGAAATTTCTAGATAGCAGTTGCCAAGACAACGGGTATTGCAGCACTTTGCTGGCAGCATGTTGACCTTTGTTCCTCATCAGCTTTTCCCCAGAAGCATTTTTAGCAAATGGCAGGATCATTTCCTTTGGAAATGCACAAACTTTCATTTTATTGTCACAGTGTAGCCAATGTGGAAAACTGGAAGTCACTAATTACTAGCTTATGCTAGAGAATGGGCCCCACTGATGGTAGTCGTCCAAAGATACTGAAGTTTCTTCATGTTACACTTAAAATAGAATCTTTTTTTGTAATTAAACACTAATTTGGAGGGTTCCTTGCTTACAGAATAAACAGATCAGCTGTAGCATAGCTAGAGCTTAACTGCTCTGTGTGCAGAACACTCATGAGCCTCAGTAGATAATTTCAGGAGCAGTGCATATAGTATTTCATCCTGACTGCCGTGGCCTCAAGTCTTGGAAAGCCACTTGTTTCACTGTCTCTTTAGAGCTGAACTTCTGAGTACTTTCTAAACTTGAAAACAACTATAACCAAGATGTTTAGATATACATCATAAATACCAGGCTCCTGCATGAACTGCAGCGTACGAAGGTGTTGTTACTAAGCAGCAGTTTCTCTGGTTAATGAGGATCTGTCATTATGTATAGGCAAGACCTAATGTGCTATAATCCCAGACTAAAATGAAGCCCTAAATAAAAATCTTCATGGAAATGAAGTTATGTAAAGGTAGTCTCTTAACTCAGTTCCTTCAGGAGATGGCCAGTGTTACATTCCAGCCTCTTTCTTTTTTTTTAATATTATGCTTGGAATAGAGCTATCAGGTGTCAGACTGCAAATATTACTTAATTCTGGATCTTTAAGTCCCTGCCCTTCTTACCCTGCGATATTAAGTTGGGAATGCAGTAATTGCATTTGGAAGCTGTGCATGGTTAAATTTGGCTTTGGGTGTAAAAGGAAGCAATGAAAATAACACATCTGAGACCCCATGGAAACTTTGTGGAGATAATGGGCTGCTGCTTTAATGGCTTTTCTGTTCTTTTCTGTTCCAGGTGCATTACCTGAGCATTTTACTGATGCTACCTGATTGTACACAGTCGCCTGGAGACACAAATGTTAAAATATTATGTTATTTGAAATAACTTCTTCCTTTATTGAGTCACAATGTATGTGATGCAAAGTTGGACCTAATAAAGGAAAAACTGGTTTGACTGATGTGGTAGCGGTGGCTTGTGTGATTATTTATTTTTGCTTGGGGAAAAGAAAGAAACAAACTGTAAACATGCTCTCCCAAGAGAGTACTACATGTAAGAGCTTATAAACCATTATTTGCCTGGCAAAGCATGGCCCGTGGCCTTGCCCAAGCACCTAGCTCCACCTTGGGGAAGGGAAAGGTAATGACCTTATCTGGAGGGCATGGTGACCCTCTCTCCCTGCCCTTGGAGCAGTAATTTCCCGGTGATGAGGTCGGGGCCTAAGGAAGCCTCCAAGGTGGACGTGAGGGGCATGCTCTTGCTGCAGTGCTGGCACAGGCTATTGTCTAGCAGGGCTGGGAATTTGCTCTGGGACAGATGTTGCTTTGATGAGCCAGTTTTCGGGGAAAAAAAAAAAAAAAGGCGGGGGGAAGCAAAACTCCTTTATTTTATTATTTTTTTCTCCCCAGAAAAAGGGAATTTTTCAGGCAAAACATTAATTCAGGTAGGGAAGTGGTTCCCCATGGCACAGCGGGTCATGGCACAGCAGGGGCCGTGTGCGGTGGGGTGTCCCGGTGTCCCGGTGTCCCGGT